CATGCGTGAATAGTATTTTACGTCAGTAAGCGATGTAGCATACTTTAAAAAGTAATTTTATCTTCAGAACCCAGAGTTTTGTTTCAGAACTTTCGGGGGGTGTAGATTTCCTCCGCTGTGTCTTTAAGCCTCAGATCTCTGAACTTCCCCACAGAGGAGGAAAGATTGGTTGTCCTGTGGTAATGAAAGGGCAGATTTCTTTGAGGCTTAACTGATTCTGCAATGACTTTATGGGTTACCCCATCTTCACATGTCCTGCCGTGTATGTACTGTCTAATTTTTCTCATCAGTCTTCTCTCAGTGAAAGCAGAGATCTTTCTAAAACGAAGGTGTGCTATTTGGTTTTATTAAGAATCTTATGCTAAGCAGTCGCTCATAAGACCCAATCAAGTATGAGTAAAAAAAAAAAAAAAGAAAATGTCAATCATATTGCAGAACATGTTAAATTGCTTGTTTTGAGAGACAGTTAATAAAAGGAGAGAAGCAAATGTTTCCCATGAAGATGGCAAGAAAATGCTCTCTTCACAATCAATAAAGAAGTGTAAGGAACATTCAGTATCCGTTAAGTATCTCATCTACTCAAGCTCATGGGGCCCGTGGTGGAAGCTGCTAATTTTGTTTGGTTATGGAACTTGCATATATCGTTCTCTCTTTACATTTTCCACTCAATGGAATATGATGATCGTCTTTTTGTTCCTTCCCATTCAGAAACACGTGTATTTATAAAACCCTTAATGTCTATGAGGAATGAGTCAGTGGCTGTCTATTTCAGGTGCCCCTGAAGAGCTAAGTATTTATGGAACAAATTGCCTACTACCACCCCCCACCCACTGAGCAATATTATATAATAGAACGAATGTGTGGCAAGCCAGCTAGAGTTTGTGGATTCGCTCTCAATATTTTCCTCTCAGAGGATGACATTGGCAATTGGTTTTGCAATATAATTGTCCATAATTTTAATCTTTATCACTTCCATGTAATATTTTGGGAAGACTTCTTTTCTGCTGAAAGAAAGGGCCCATGAAACACCATGTGCAGGAGGAGTACCAAGGGGAAGGAGAACTAGCTCCAGAGCCCTGGAGAAAGACACTGTTCCATGTATGCAAAGCCACTTCATAGCCCATTTTAGTCCAGATCAATAACATCCATCAACTTGAGGGCCTGACATAATTTTACATTTTTGCGTTGGCTCTGCAAATTTATATGCCAGGCCTAGGGAGTTCTCACAGTGTATTAATGGGTATTCTTATCCAAGGGGACTGCTCGATGCTTTAGTGCACAGGTAGAGATGGCGGCATTGTTTGATTCATGGTGAGTTCCCAAGGCTTGCAGAGTGGAGAACTAGAATTGGAGCTGCAAACATTTAGGTGATGCGCGCACCTGCGGCAGATTCAAGGCCCGGGCCCCTGACCTGTTCCGTCCTGGGCCAGGAGGGGTTAGTTCAGTGTATTCAATCCCCAAAGGCGTCTTTGGCGGTCCTCCGCCTAATCAGTTTGCCTAGCTCTTTGCTGTGATGACCCGGCTTTTGAGAAACTATTGATGATTTTAACCTGGTTCAAAGCGTAGCCAGATGGGGACCGGTGGTGCCGTTAGGTAATACTAAATATTAAAAAACAGTGTTTTTATATTGTTTTATTTTCTTTGAAAATGCCATAATTAGAGTTGAGGAGAAAATCCCTGATTTTGACAGAGGCTCCTTTTCTCTTGTGTGCCATAAAAGTTCATTGCTTTAATTTCCCGTTAATTTTATATTAAGAGGATTCTCTGTGATGTGTTGTAGCACCGAAAAGTAAGGGAAGCCCAACGTGAAGGGGGCCTGGGTGGCAACGCACACTAGAGATCTAAAAAGTGAGAATGGAATCAAATAATTATGTTCAAGAGCAGCTCCGCGACCCCCTGCTCCTGACCTGTGCGTGCCGTGGTCAATATCTTTCCTGTGTCAATGGGAGCTCATTAAATGTAAATTCTGCAGGCCGACTGAGCCACGCCACGTTAGTGCTTGCCAAGGCTTGACATTTTTAATACATTAATAGTATGCCTGTAATGTAATGGAAAACTATTAATCACAACTGGTTATGTGCCAGAACTGTAAGCTATAATTGGCTGCTTCTTGTCAAGAAAGTCTGTCGCACGGGCCTGCAAATGCCTAGTGTTCAAATATCTTGCGCTCCTCTGCATTTCCCCTGTCAGTTCTGTAAATTCGATCAATGATGTAGTCCATAATTCTGCGTAATGACCATCATTATAATTCTGCTATGGTTTAATGAGAATCCATTTCAGTGGGACTGCTGATGGGTCAGGAGATAGTAAAGGTTCCCATACATTTCCTTCGTGTCCAAATGTTTTTCGTACATATATACGGTCACCTTTTCTTTTGTGGTTGCAGGAAGGCCCCAGGTGGATAAAGACCAAGAATAAATGGACAAAAGCGATAACATCCAATGGTTAAAAACAAAAGTGAAGATTAATCTCAGGGGGATTTCAAATATATACTTGGGGTCATATTTTTAAAATAATATTAAGGATTATCTTCTAGAGCTTAGTCAGTTTAGAGTCATTGCCATCCACTTCAGGCCTTCAAGAATATATTGTCCTTGATAAATAAGTTGCCATGAATTAGGGACGAGGGCTTGCAGTTACTAATTTCTGGTCTAGTGGCTTTTGCACTGCTTTGGCTATAACCCGCCCCCCCCCGCCCCATCCCCCGAAAGTATGTGTTCTCGTTCTATAACAAAGTAGTAAACACTGTTGAAACATGCATCTAGAAAATGGACATCTGTACTATTTTAACACCTTTTTGGATTATTACTTGTCAAAATGTTGGATGTTTCTGAAAATATCAGCTTATGTATACTAATGAATCTGGGGGGAAAAAAAACCCCGAGAAGGCTGTAGTAGCTGCCACACATGCTCCTCTGTGGTGTTTTACTTTTTAGCTTAAGGTTTCAAATTGTGCTCAATACAGTGTAGTCTTTACATTACAAGAAAGAGGCAGATTCAAATCGGCGTCTTATCCATGTTTAGACAAACCACTAATTATCACTTTGTAGGAACTCAAATATTCAACTTTTCCTAATAGAAAATATCACAATTTGCAGCTGTATGATAACATTTTATGAATGGGATATAATGAAAATTGTACTTGCATCCATAAAGCAATTATTATAAATTACTTTGCTATGGAAACACAATTCAGCCATCTGCTGGCATTTCATAGTTTCCGTGGCTTAGTTCACTTGAAGATGGTGTATTATTTAAATATATAGTGGATTTCTCTTATGAGATTGTTTGAAGATAGTGAACGTCCATATTTAAACTGCTTCATGTGAATTAAAGGATCTCTAATGGTGTTTTCTGGAACTCTGGGTTTTTTGTCGCTTTTCAATGGTTTAAAAAACAATTAATTGTTGGGACTATGACAACTGACGCAGCAAATACATTTTTGAAACCTGGAATCCACATTCTGTCACTTGTTTCGATATGGGCAGCAGTCGCCAATGAGAAAAGTTGCCAGTTAAGCTCACCCGTGACATGTACCCGTAGCTATGAAAGTGGTGTTACGCGTTTACCAAGAGTATCTTTAAATAGTAATTTTTATTTTCTCTTAGAATTAATGCCACCTCATTCTGCTTCACGGCCTGTTAACTCACCCTCAGCTATTTTTAAATGTGCATTTTAAATTGTGTGTTTTACTACAGAGCTTTTCGTTTTAGAGCAGCGTATAATATTCGCCTTTGGGACAAATTCTCTTCTTCTGTTACAGAAAGTAGCTACAGAAGCAGATGTCGTGTCTGTAAAAAGATGTGAGAGAATAAGAGAATTCCTAGGGAAGGAAAAATTGCCCCTTTGGTTTTGTTTTGAATCTTTTCTTTTTTGCAGAGAGCCAAATTATCTTTATGACTAAGTGCAACCAAACAAAAGATGCTAAATCCTTCCAATATACAATGGGCCCCCTCAAAGGGACAGACTAACAATGCCAGTTTTCACTGCAGCTAACAAAAGCTAAGAAATATACAAGGAATTTGGAGATTTTTAAGGTCTCTATGTGCCATGAGACAAAAGGCGTACAAGTGCCTGTCACTTCTTTGTCATTGTTATGAAAACGCTCATTTCCTCCGTTGTTCTGGAAGATTTTCTAGCGCTCCCAGCTAGGAGCCTTGTGTAAGTCCAGCCGCTTGCTCTTGGTGTGGTCAAGATGGAAATGGAATTTTCAAAGCGAAAACCTGTGACTCCTCTGGAACGAACACGCACACGCGTGCACGCAGGTGTCTTGGTTTTATGCAGAAGTTCAGTTCCCCCAGGGAAAACCCCCCACTGCCCCATGGGAATGGCCTCTGTGGGCTGCTCCTTCTAGCAGAGCCGCGAGGACAGGTTACCAACTTGCTTTGTCTCGCATCCAGCCTCCCCCTTGTCAGTCTGTCATCCACTTGGTCATGTATCGATTCTGGGACAGTAACTCTTACTCTTCTTGTTTCTAAAAGGGTGTTGGTGCCAGAAGGAAAGAGGATGATTGATGGGAAACAGACACCAGGCTAGAGACCCGCACCCTCGTGCTCCCAGCACCCTCGTGCTGACACCTGAGTGCGTGTGAGCGGTCCTCGCGAGCGGCGCCCGTCCGGGACCTGCCTGCCAGGGTGGTCGGATGTACAGCCAGGGAGCCAGCCCTGCGCCGCATCGTGGCCTGCGACTGGACGTCTTTCACAAACACCAAACTAGACCCCAGTCTAGTGGACATCGAAAAACCGGCAAGCGGCTGTTAACACCAGACGCCCAAGTATGTTAGCGTTTCACCAAAGTCCTTGATGTCCCCAAGTGCACACACCCTCTCAGCCCTTCATGTTCAGCTTGGGAAACGACTGTGAGGTCTCACCCTCTTAATTTTTTTCTTTAAATATACAACGCTACCTACGTCTAGACATACATGTGTGTGTAAAACAGACATAGCCCACAGAGCCGCAAACCCTGCGTTAGTTCCCGCACGGATTGCCAAGAACTTAGAGATGTATTTGTCAAGATTCCTGTCGATTCACGCCCTCTGGGTGACGGTGTCTTCGGTGATGCAGCCCTACCCGCTGGTGTGGGGACATTACGATGTGTGTAAGACTCAGATTTACACGGAAGAAGGCAAGGTTTGGGATTACATGGCCTGTCAGCCGGAATCCACAGACATGACCAAGTACCTGAAAGTGAAGCTGGACCCCCCGGACATCACCTGCGGAGACCCTCCCGAGACGTTCTGTGCGATGGTGAGGCAACCCGTTCAAGTAGAATGTTTCATAGTGAGTGGGGCCTGTGGTCTGAGAATGCAAACGAGGTCAAGGCTCAGCCCAGGCATCGGCTGCGGGGGAGGCGGGGGAGGAGGGCCGGTGGCCAGCGGCCGGCTGCGTGCGCAGTGGTGGCTGGTACTGTTGGGAGTTACTGGTCCCAGCGCGATGTAGGCTCTGGGTTCTGCGACTTTAAGCGAAACACCGAGTAACAAAACCAGTTGTACCAGAGGTTAACTGACATAAACAAGGGTTAAGCTCCTTCCTCTGGCATCTGGTCCACATTAGAACTAGACACCGTGGAACAGAACGAGGCCCTGCTATACTGTTTTTTGGATAAAAAAGTTACAGAATTCGTTGTTTTCGCGGTACACGCAAGTCTGTTTCGGGGTGGAAAGGTAAATGCTGTGTGAAAAGGTCCCATTGGAGTGACGCGTTGAATTTTCACTAGGGGCATTGCTGAAAATATGCCTATGAAGTATTAGAGTAAGAGTTTGGTGATTAAAATGTAGCCCAATGAGCTGAGCGATTCAGATAGCATGTTCATTGGGTGTATGTCACTGGTCTTTTTGTTAGAGGTGGTCTTCATTCGATATAGGCAGTGTGATTCCATTTTTCCCATAACAGATAAAATCGTGTGGCAGATTTTAATAGTATTCTTACCTGACTTTTATTATCTTGAACCTGGCCCAGGCCTTTTCAGGATAGTGAAACTATTAATCAAAGCAGCATCTGTTCTCGGTCCCCAGTGAGTTAAATTAGCATAAGATCATCCTAGACCCAGCACTGGAGAAAAGGTTTTGTAACAGGAAACAATTTTCAGCAATAGAGTGTTTGCACCTAAAAGCGAAGGGCTTGCCATTTTTCAGAAGCGCCTTTGGGGACTGGTTTGAATTATAGTCTACACCCGATTTTGTGGAGAGGCAGCGGGGCAATTAGGTGTCACTGTGACTAAAGGGCCTGAAAGACTAAATATTTCAAAGAGGGGGCCCGTCTTTCTGGGAGGCAGGCAGGCCTGCGCTTCATAAAGAAGTCGCACTTTCGAAACTAGAGAATTCCAGTGGAGGAGTTTATTCAGGCACATTAGCAAAACTATAAGAAGTCTGTAAAAAGAGCAGGGGCTTTTGTTGGCTTTGTGTAGACCTTTAATCATCTCTCATCAAAGGTCAAGTTTAAGATCTCATTGCTAATCTGGGGGGATGGCTGTGCAGGTGAGCGGAAGTGGGGTCTTCCGCTCCCCACAGTGGGGGACGGGTCCAGGGCCAGCTGTTCCGGTGGTTAAGGAAGCCAGAGCTCTGGGCATTGGTTCTCACGTACCTGTAACCAGACGCCACTTCGGGGCTTGTTTAATGATTTACATGTCTCAGGACAATAGCAAACCTCCTTGTTCAGAAGACCCACCTGCGTGGTGTGCTCCAGGGGAGATTTCAGTATGCGGCGCCCCCCCATTCTCCCATCCCGGCCTCAGCCTCTGGCGAGAGGACGCCTGCTCAACACCGAGCCGGCCTGTCTTGCTCAAGCGTGTACTTGGCGTCTTCCGCACGGCCCGCCCTCCCTCCCATCATGAGTGGGAAAAGGGGATGTGATAGGACTTCTCCGGCCTGCCCTTCACGGACCCATGGTCTGAAGGCCTTACACAAGCTGTTTCCTACCAGCCCACTGGCTAGAGGATGTTAGAGATCAGAAGGGAAAAAAGAATTCAATGACACCTCTCAGCTTCATCCCCTGTAGTCACCTGTTTACTTCTCAAGTTCATGCGAAACTCCACAAGACAGTCTCTTTGAAAGGCTGCATTTCACTGGGATGTGAGTGTATGGACGCTGTGCTGGATTTAAGACTGTCATTGAGCTGACCCATTTTCCAAGGGAGAAGGCAAGGCTGGTGAGATGTTAGCCCTCAGCGCTTAATGGGCAGATGACAGGTGTAGCTGATTGAACACTCTGTCCCGTAAGTGCAGACGTGGGGACTGTCTGTGTGTGTATTATATGCCAAGTCACTGATAACGGCCCAGTCTAGAAGCACGTTCTCTGGGCTCCCCTTAGAGCGCGTCCCTGACCCGACGCGGTGAGGCTGCCTTGGGGCAGGGGATGCTGTCACGCCGGGCGCGTGGAGGGGCTCCCTGGATCCAGGCCTGGCGGGAATCCGTAAAGTCATGTGTGTCATAGGACTTTCACGCTCTCTTCCCTGCCCGCTCAGAGTCGCTGTGGCCTCTTACAGCGGGGTGACCGCCACACGCGCCCCATCGCCGCTTAGCCCTTGTGTGTGAATGTCTGCTGCAAAATAGTCTCAGTCATCCCCTGCTCAGCTAGCGACACCCTTATTAGCTGTGACGCGAGCAGTTCTGAGCACCACGGGACGTTTGGTTAGAGAGGACCCTATGATTCCCACAGCCCATTCAGTGTGTGTAAAGTTGAAGTTCATTGGCAATGCGTTACGAGTCTGTATTGCTGCTTTTTGCCTTGGCTTCATCGTTCTGTGCCATCTCTGAATGCTGCATTTACTTCAGAGTGAACGCTTAACAGAAAAGGACCACGTGCTTCCATTTAACAATAGATCTCTGCTTATTAACCTGAAGGACCTACTTTATAACTCTCCCGTGCCTGGCGATTTTAAATTGTTGTATATTTAGAAGGCCGGCATTTTAAACATGAGTTTCATAGGAGAATCCTGCCGTTTCTACTCGGGATGGTGGAGTAGGGAAATGTAAAGCGAGATATAGATATAGAGTCTCTGTGTATGAATTGGGTATGTTGAGATCATCCATTTTCTTTTTAATTTAATATAATATATTTCTTTGAAGTTGTTGGTGGCTAAAAAAAAAAAAAATAGCTGTTTTTGTTCAGGGGGAAGGATCCGAAGGGTAGAAGGGGCCGAGCCCTGTGCCTCGGGCTGCATTTCCATGTTAGGGTGGGTCCTCTCCTTCCTTGGGCCACGTGAGGGCTTCAGGTGTAGCTCTGCCTGGTCAGAGAACACAGATCTCCTGGCAACTACAATTTGTTCTATTCAGATAAAGAGCAAACGGGATGACGTGAACCTGTGTGTCCAGCTGAGTGATGGCACTGGGCCTTGTTCGTTGCGTTTGGACCAACATAACTGTCATATTGCCATGCCACGCCCCAGTGGCTTAAAAATGGCCAAATTATCCGCCATCATCTCCAGCCTGTAGCTGATTTTCTGGATAAGTTAAACAGAAGCCTTGAAGAGAAGCCTCCAGACGGAAGGAGTTCTGTGCGTCTGTACAATTTATGGCCCAGAAGTGCTGATGGTGGCAGAAACGGGAGCCCTTGAGTGCGGCTGTGGGTTTCAGAGCCAATCAAAACTAAATTAGGAAACAAAGGTTATTAAAAAGTCTTCTGTGCATGTAATTTTGGCATAATATTATGAGGTGGACATTAACTGTTCCCCTTGGAGACTGTAAGCATCATTAATGTAGCATGCCTTTAATTACAAGTAGGCTCATATTACTAAAAACATGGAGAAAATAAAGTACTCTGAGGGGTAGTTAGCAATACCCTCATTATGTTTACTGAAATAATGAAAAGAAGGGGTGTAATTTTTCTAAATAAAATGTCAGAATTTGAAATGGAAATGGATTTTCTTGAGGAAAGTTACTAATGGGCGCCCGTGCTCTCTATGGGCGTTTATTCAAGCGCCATAGCAGGTCTATTAACGATCATTTTGCATTGTGCTATTTTCAGATAGACTCCTATTAAGAAGGAAAAAAAAAAAACTTTAATTATTGTAAGCATTGTGGATAGGGCATATTTCATTATGTTCCCGTGGAATTTATGAAGGTAGCGGAAAGCCTTCGCACTTTATGATTGAAACGGGACCCAGTGGGCTGAGTGAGTGCAAATGCAGAGTCTCCGGGCCGTCGTAACTTACATTTCTGATTTGACCTCGGCGCCGGAAAGCCATCTGGTGGCTATCAGGTGGCCTTTGAGAAGTTAATTTGATAAACTCAGTTGCACTTTCAACGACAAGGCATTAATATCAATTTTCCCAAAACGGGAAATGACATTGACTTATATAATAATCGAATAATCTTAAAAAATACACTCTGTTCGCATAAAACATAATTCAATAAATGAAGTTTTAATAACAGTGACATATTTCATTTGAACTGATTTATCCCTTAATTATGCCAGAATGGAATTTTTAAAAACCTTCCCTTCCTTCATTATTAACACTTCATTGTTATTAGTTCATTATTTAGACTTATTTCTTAGAAAAGTTTAATTCATGTTTGCAGTGAATTAAGTTCCATGGAGATCAATCTTTCTGGTCTCTCACTATATTGAGTATGTCCCTGTTGAGGAGCCCGCAGTAGCTCTGTATTATCTGTTGTGTCCAGCCTGACGCTCGCCACCTGGTCTCTAGATCCGGTGTGTACAGCCTTCCTTCCCATTACTGCCCAGCGGGCCCCGTGACATGTCCAGGGGACTCAAGGCTAGCGACCTGGCGGGAAGGGAACCCCTGGATTTGGCTTGAAGCTGGGTTGGCAGTGCAGTGCATGGTTTCTGCGGAAGGCCTTCGAGGGGAGCTGATAAAGATTATATGGCTGTACTAACAAAACCTAAAACCATCCCCTGCCACACCCTGCTCCCAGACCGGGCGCTCCACGTGCACCAGCACCCTCATCTCTCTCTCTTGGGCTCATGCTTCACGGATGTTTTTCTAGACGACTGCGAGCAGAGTGAAGCCAACAGAGCAGAGAGCTCGGGCAGCACCTGGTGGCATGGTGAGAATCGGGGTCAGGCACCATGTGGCCCCACCCCCAAAGGAGTCTAGGAGGGTCTTAAGCAAAATGAATACAAAACAGCGTGTCCCTGGAGAATGGAGGGGAAGTAAGGCCAGCACTCCAACTTTAAAGACACAACATTATTTTGCTGCATGTCCAAGGGCCACTTGGAAAACCCTGTCTGGTAACCACGTGCCTAATGTTAAACCATGTCAGATGAGAAAACAGGGTGGGTGGGGCA